TAAATAAAAATGGGGCTTGTGCTTTTAGCAGAATCAAAAGATACTGCTTTGCGGTAAAAACATGAAGCAAAAGCATTCTTACGAATGCTTTCGTACGAATATCTTGTTTGATACAAATTTATATATTTTACATAGTCTTGAAAACGATATCGATATCAAATATGGAATAAAAATGTCGTATAAGCTTTTAAAAAATTATAATATAATTTATACTTTTTTTTTTTATATCTTTAGATCAAATGCTTTTTAAGCTTTAGCAGCTTGTTACAATTTTAACTTTGAGAAAATATTTTATTATACAAATTTACATTTTTCCAAATATATTTGCTTCGTTTTATATTATATAACATGGATTTTTTAAAAGAAATATCTGTAATAGCTATCAAGTGAGTAAATGAATATTCAAGTAGTGAAACCTGTTTTTGGTTAAACAGTCGCTCGTCTCGATTACTCCTGAAACCGAAATAGCATACAAGTAGGGCGATATATTCGCGTTTCTCTCCGAGAAGAAAGCCTCTGGAGAGAACGAAGCGGCTGTAGATGAGGTGCTGTCGCTACGTGCTGTTCTTCGTCTGCTTGTATTAGCACGTTGATTGTGCATGGTTCTGCATAGCATACAGAGTGATTTCTATGGGACTAACTTGATTAACGCGCAAACGCTATTTTCTTGACAGTATTTTGATCTTCCACGGGTATGCTTGCTGTCTGTTTAATGCGTTAGCATACTGATATCCTAAAATTAATGAATAATAAGACAACTGCATCACCTACATAGCTTGTCTAAAGCACAGGAATTTTTCCATTTTTTACAAAAATTGCATAATTTTTTAATAAGAAACACCTATTGGAAATATCAAAAACGCATGACAAATATTATCGAAAGATGCTCAAAGGCGAGCAGGTGTTAACGATTGTCGACGAAGCACTAAGAAATGGCCGAGAAACGAGCAGCAGTCGCGCGTGACAAAAACAAAAGAACTTAGAGTCTTTATTACTTAGTGAAGAAGAAGCGAGACTTCTTTCACTCTTTTTCCCTTCTTTCTCACACCCCCCTCTTTTCCGAAGAAACCTCCGGGAGAACCGTGCAATCGCAGATGAGACGTTGTTAGGTATTCCGCGCGCGTTCCGCCGCGGGTCTTCCCGTTAATAACATCACGCATCCCGAACATCTTTCCGTGCTCACAGGCGCGCGCTGCAAGCTGCGTGGCGAATCCTGCGAGCCAAGACTCACGTAATGCTCGCACATCAAATACTTCACTGTAATGTAACGTACTCCACTTTGAGCCGTGCGTTGCGTTAAAGAATGCTTCTAACAGCTGAAGCTGCACTATTACGCCTATCGATCAAACCGGTCTGCTCTATATTGCACCCCCGTCGTTATTCATTCGCCAGCAGATGCAAAACTGTACATGTGTATCGGTTACGGAATAATATAGTCTGACATCTCACAAATTGAGTTTTCAACGGACGATCGAGCTTGTCCAAAAACAATAACACTCAGATTTGTATTTTGCAAGAATTTATCTATGAAGAAAAGTTAAAAAAATATGAAGAAACTTTTTTTAAAGGATTTGATTCCTTAAATATCCTTTTACTTTTAAACTTTTATACCAGTACTTACATCGCCTTACGCTCTTTAAAAAAGACGGGCGCTTTTTATTGCGGATTTTTCGTCTAAAACTGATGCCACTACACAGAACGACATTATCAATTGTGAATTTCAGTATTGTATTACCTATCTGTCCCAAAGTACGGTCGAAAGAACAACGCGGTACATTTGGAAAAGTTAAAATGGCTTTAGAAACTCCAAGTATCTTTGGCGAAAAAAGCGATAATGCTCTTCTTAAAACCAAGCAGTTACACAAAAGAAAGGACTCCGTATCTGGCTTCTTTTCGGAAATAAGATTATCCAAGTCAAGTGACCCAAAAAACCTGACGTAAAGCGGATAATCCAATTCTCTTACAAATCAATCGTATCAATGAAGAAAATAAAGGCATTCTCTATTACAAAAAAACATAATTTACAAAAAGAAGTTTGATAAATATTACGCTTCAATGATTAATATTCGTAAATTATATCGCGCGACCTAAATTAATAAATTTGTACTTAAATTAGAGATTCGATTTTTATTTATTCCCTGAACTGTGATGAATGCTTCAATTGAGATTTAATAATCCGAGTGTTGATGAGGTATTAAATTCCGTATGTAAACTTGTATTAATATCAGAGATTTCCATCGATGAATGCATATAGTATCTTCCATTTACATTTTAAATATTACAATTTTTACGTTCATATGACGATTAAACATGTATTCGTTAATTTTATTTCATAGATTTGGAATAAAATTTACATTTTAACATATATTAATAACAAAAAAAAATCTAAAACGGCTACATATTTAGTATTCCAAGACTACTGCGTTGTTAAGAGAAGAATGTGAATCGTATGCGGTCAGCAAACTAAATGCTAGCCCGATAGAATCACCTGTTACCACGAAGATATTGATTACCACGTATTGCTATAGAAGAGACATTCGTTTGCCTAAGCATTTGCAGAGCCATAATTGAATGACTAGCGAAAAAAAACTCAAGGAAAAATACATAGGTCGTAATTCAAAAGGCAATTATGGAACATTAATCATCGGCGCGGAATTAGTGTTATTTATAACTATTAAAGAGTTTATAAGATTGCTAGAAGTTTGAAAAGCTATTATACTTGTCAGACATGTTTTTAATGTAAAAGACATGACGTGTGACAAAATTTATGTACGTGAATCGATCACAAGATATAAAATTTATGTACGTGAATCGATCACAAGATATAAAATTTACATTGCGATACAAAGGCATAAATATTAATCGTATATTATGATCAACTTATCGATATATTTTTTTAGCGAACGGTACAAATAATTGGGTCTCATCGTCAAAAATAAAATAGTTCGTTTAGATCGTAATTAAAACAGCGATGTTGTGGTTATCGCATAAAGACTATAATATTGGTAAAAGGCTAAAACGAAATTCTAGGTAATCCCCTTCCAGATAATTGCTTCTCCTTGCTACTCTCGCGGCTGTAATCTCCGGGTAATAATTAAGTTATTTAGGGTTTACGGTAAATTATTGCAACCGGAATGGACAAATCCTACAAGTACGGATCCTGACATTTCTTAAAATAATAAATAAAGTAGAGCTATAAAGCACTTTTCGAATGTAACACGAGCAATTGTAATTGGCTCGTACAATTTTCATTATATTGGATCTACAATCACAATACAGAGATTGCATAAATTGGGACAGAAAATGTAAACAATAAGTTATTAAAATCAAGCATTGATTTCATCCAAACCGAAAATGCTTAGTCACACAAAATATTTCCGAGTAAATTACTTTTCGATAAAGTATTTTCATAATCTCAAAAGAATATTTTATAAACACATAAATAAATATCAGAATAGTTGGAAAACATTTTATTATTTCATTTTATTAGGGAATATTATCTCGTCAGTGTATCAGAAATCTATTTTAATTTTATTATTTTCTAAACATTGTTATCATATTCACGTAATTATAGCATCAGGGAAGAACAGTTTAATGATAGAGATATGAGGAAAAATACTCGCTATTTTGCGTTTACAGATATATTATATTTTCGTCACGAGATCGTGAACAATATAAATTTGATCAATGCGATGAAAACGTGAAACGTTTCGTATCGATATGATTTCCACGGATTCAAATTTCGATACTGTAGAAATACGAGAATGGTTTTACGCTTATTCGTGACAATGGAAATGCGACAATAAAAGAATAGAAATCAAATATCAGTTAAGCGCGATAAAATTATATTATGAATTAAAAGGCGGTTCAAATTTCACGTTTGCAGTAAAAAAAAATTGTTTCTTTAATATTTAATTAAAAATTTTGAATATTAATCTTGCAATCAGATAACTCGTCAAAAATAATAAATTTAACAAATATTAACAATTACAAAATTAATATTTACTTATTTTTATTCTTATTTTCGTAGCTAAGTTGGAAAAATCATGTACATATAAGAATAAAGCTTAGAACATTAAATTTAGCAGTTGTAGACATTTAATCAATTACTAATATTCCAGCAAAAAAAGAACAAAAAAATGTTTGCTGTTATAATTCGAAATTACTATTGATAAAATCTAAATTTACGAAATTTAAAAAAAATCACCAAAAGCTCGTTAAAAAGTGATAAGTGAAATACTAATCATTATTGATGCATTGTGCTATTTCACGAAATTAAATTCGTCGCAGCGATTATTCATTTATTTCACTGTGAAGATTGAAATCAATTTGCAAAAAAAAAACAGTGCGGCTGACATTTGTCAATGTTCGAGCTTCTCGTCTCGAGAATCAGATCACAGCGGTGAGACGCGAAACCTTTAGTAGCGTATCACATGTCACAGAGCGGATAGAGCACGAAGCACAACCTCCCGCGCGAACGTACTCTCGGCAACAGTTAACCCGAGCTGTTCTCGATCTGCCGTCTCGATCTCCGATCCGACGGGTCGGAGCGAAGCTCGTCGACGCTCCTTATCGAAACAGGAAGAAACGACGACGATTTCTTCGCGGTACCGGCATTCAGCGCTTCCCCGTGATTGCGCTCAAGTGATTAAGGACCAAAGGATAAAGCTGGAGTAGAGATACCGTAGGTGGAACCAACGTGGGCGTACGAACGAAACAGCGAGGGAAAATGAGGGAGAAGGTGGAAGAGGAAGAGAAAGAGAGAGAGAGAGAGAGAGAGAGTCAGATCGAGTAAGACGGACAATGAAGAGATAGAGGGGAAGAGGAAGAAGAGCAAGGACAACGTTTGAAGATTGGGTCGCTTGTAGATATGAGCGCGCGGCTTATGCGCGAAGCGTGCGCCGCCGCCACCACCAGCACCACCACCACCCACCGGCACCGCCACCACCATCAGCACCACCTCCATTTCTGCCTCCTCGATCAGTCGACCCCGTGCAACGCGGCACGCCGGCCGCCGCGTGACAATTGTGTCCATGTATATGTGGTGCGCTCTTTGTGGCAGCCCGCCGGAATCGTAAAATCGAGGATCGTTATTTCTTAACAAGGGTCATCGTCAAGAGATAAAAAAGGAGAGCAGGTGCACCGTCTTGCGTGGAGTGGCGCGAAGTCACCTCTAAGAACGTTACATTTTTAGGGGGGGTGAGAAGAGGGGGGGACGAGGAAGAGAGATTTCGAGAGGTGAAACTCTACATCCGGTACGCGTGCGTGTGTATTGTGCATAGGAGTGTGTATGGGAGGGAAGATTGGAGTGAGTTTCGAAGAAACGAAGGTGGGAAAGGAGAAAGGAAAGATGAAAAAGGATTGGGAGGATCGCGGCAAGGGTGATCGCGTTAGAGAGTGGAAATTGGCTGTTTGAGAAGTCGTGGTTTCGATGGGAAGTAGTTCGCTCCTAATTTATGGTGAAAAGAGGAAACGACGATTCCTATAACATGTTAGATAATTAGTGTTAGATAACTATTTTGGACAATTGGACTTGAGAGGTAGAGAAGAATGAAACATAGGGCATCTGAGGAGACGCAGTTCCTAACTGCGCAAAAGAATGGTTTTTGTCATTACAATTGCAATTTTACGGTGAAAAATTCTACATTGAGTTTGGATAAAGCTCATTATCGTAAGCAGAGAACGTGTCTTTATGTTCGAAGCAATATTATTCGGAAATGTTTTTCTTTGTGATGAAAAATATGTATTAAAACGTTGAAAAGAAGGCAGAAATGTGAAATAACACTGAAATTTGATGTCATTCTGCCATTTTTTTACAAAAATATAAGAAAACTATGCATTGTTCTATACAAATTATCTAAAATTATGTAATTATTCTAATCTATCCACATCAAAATGATTCGTATTTGTGAAGCTTACGATAACATGATAAAAAATAGTATAAATTAAATTTTATTTGTATTAAAAATTTTTAATATTAAATAAGCAATAAGTTGTAACAAATATTTCGAAATTTATATATTTGAATTATTTTATTGTTTTGAATTTTTAAATGGAAGACCACGTATTTTTATAAGATTTTATAATATTATAAAGAATATCACGAAAAAGACAAGGATTATCAGAGATGCTTTTATTCAAGAATAAAAGGGAAAGCCATTTTATTGCCGAATTGTTACTCGAATAACTGCGATTGGAATAAAATCATGGTTTGGATGGAAAATAGGTCGTTCCTAATTTATGGAAAAGAGGAAACGACGATTCCTATAACATAGTGTTAGATAATTATTTTAGACAATTGGATTTTAGAGTGAAGAATAAAAAATAAATCATTCTTTCTAGCTTTCTAAAGATGCATTATACTGCTGCTGAGAAAAAATCAATTCAAGTAGTTACTTCTGACAAACTAACACGCATTTACGAATTGAAGAAAAGTTCAAACTAATCCTCTTTCAAGAAAGAAACATTTTCTTATACTTTTGTCGAGATGAGAGTTCACATTTTAATGCCAACTAAGTGACGTCTTTTGATAATAAGCCACGGGTGCTGAATTCCATATTCTAAATAATATAGTGAGTAGTAGATGTTTAATAGGCTAACAGTACACATGCAACGTCGAGGGATCCTACTTTCGGTTCATGAAGCTTTAATAATGATTCGTGGCGAACTGCATTATTGCAATCGACACCGTGCGGTATTCCGGCATTGCGGTTTATGGCGGATACTACAGTCGGAAGTAGAAACCGTTTCGCCAAATACGGAATTATTAGCGTGCGACGCAAACGGTCATGTAATACGATAATCGGAGAGCTGAAGTAGGAATGCAATTATCAGCGTTGAATGTAAATCATGTGATTAGTAACCGAAGCGTTTATGATCGGTTTCACAAACGCTGATTTAGCATTGAATTAACTAAATTATTTTCTACCTTTTTTGAATCTTAATTCCACCAAGTATGCGGGAAAATTAAAATTGTCGATTAATCAAATTTGGTGAAGCTAGACTTGAATAAAAAATAAGTTTTAATCGCGTGACAATAACGATCGTTTCATCGCGAAAAGTAATTTATTATCACATGCGACAAGAAAATTATAACCTAATCGCAAGAAATAATTTTATATTACACATGATAATAATAATCATTTATTTGCACGGAATAATTTCGCATCGCGTGTAATAATTATTATTTTCTCATAAAGAATAATTGTGCATTATACTCAACAGTAATTAACGGTATGAAATAACTTCACGTTACGTGATAATGATTATCATTTAGTCACGAGAAATTTTATTTTAATAACCATCAATGTAATTGCAACAAGCTTGCTTATATCGTTGTCACGCTATCTCCTATCAGAAACTCATTCTCAAAGAATCAGCTTGCTTGACAAAGTTCATTCCGTTTCCTCTTTTTCTTTTTTTTTTTTAAATAGGCTTAGGGCATTTGACAGAGCGAACTTGGCGTCCCACCGCGCAAATGCTGGCCTTCCACTCGCTAACTTGTTGAGTCTCTCTCGATAGATACGCTGCTCATGGGAAACGCTTTATGACAATTCTAAATCTTTTACGCGCGTATTATCTTTCAATGACCTATAAAAGTTTCGTAGCAAAAGGACATATATCATTATAACATACTGGAGACATAATCCGCGGAATCTAACGTATGACCGCCCTTTTTATGAAGTGTCCCACTTCCAACATAATATCTTAAAAAAGAGCGCACAGAAACCTGCCGGTTCAATATCCATCATCATCATTGATCATTTTCTCCCTTCGATCAGAGTAATGAAGATAATAATAAAAAATTGACTTGACAAAATTGATCGTGCATATTTTTAGAACGAACGCGCGTCACCCCAATGAGCAGTACAATCGTAAAAGAAATTTTTTTAACGAAAAGACTTTTTTTAGCGAAAAGTAGAGTATTTTGAAGGAATAAAGTTCTCTTGTAGCTTTTTAATAAGCAAAAACTTTATACTTTTCTTTTTACAACAATATTTAAGTCTTACTGTTTCATTATATTAATTATATGAAAGAATAAGTTTACATTTTATCTTGTTTACTTCACGTTTTGAATCATCGTGCAGAAGTTACGAGTTAAATTCAAAAAACAACATAATTATCGATCGTACAGTTGCAAAGCTTTTTCAATATCGTGCAAAACGCATTTTGATGCCAGTCTTTAGACAAGTTAAGCGACTGAAATTTTATTAACTCTATTCGTACCTAATAACGAATTGCAAAAGTCACTTTAAAAATCGATATCAAATACAGATACATTGGAGTACGGTGAAAACACAAAGAGCACCGGTGGCTTTTCGCAAAGTGGCGAAGTTTTCCTTGCCGCTAAAAAGCAGCACGCAAAGTGCATTGGGTGTAACTTGCGCAAGATCGACGATCCACCTACGGGAACTCAATCCCTCAAAATCGTCTTACTTTTCGCCAAAGAATCACCCGCCGGCCCCGCCTCGCGATCCTCCCGATCGCACCCGATACGCCGCATGCGTAAGAAGAGGAAACTCCTTTCCCGTGTATCTCTCTAGACAGCGACGGCGAACGCGACAACGACGGGATATATTGCGACGGACGACACCCGGAACGAGCGAAATCCTGACGGACTCGACGCGAGCCGAGTGAAAACTCAACGAATTTATTTCCGCGCGCGGAGACGCTCATGCGGCACCGGCTGCGAGCACTGATGGGCAAGTAGCCGCTTCCGCTTCTGCGTCGAAAAGAGACACCACGCGAAACTGATCGGCCGATCAGCGAGCGACCGTTGAGCGATCGTTGGACCTATCGAGTGCGACAAGAATATCCTAGCCCGACAATGAGTTCTTGGATGAATTGTCCGTCCTCGTTGCTGCTGCTGCTGCTGTGCCTCAGCCTGCACAGCGCGTGCATCACGCGAGCGAACGTCGCCAACGGCCAGCACGGCCAGGATGGCCAGAACGGCGGCAGCGGCAACGGTGGCAACGGCAACAACCACGGCTACGACGACAGTCCCATAGTGGAGACTACCAGCGGCTTCATGCGCGGTCTCTCCCGCACGGTGCTCGACCGCGAGGTACACGTGTTCTACGGGGTGCCGTTCGCGAAACCGCCGATCGGGCCGCTGCGGTTCCGCAAGCCGCTGCCGATCGAATACTGGCACGGGACACTGAACGCCACCACGCTGCCCAACAGCTGTTATCAGGAGCGCTACGAGTACTTCCCCGGCTTCGAGGGCGAGGAGATGTGGAATCCGAACACCAACATCTCCGAGGACTGTCTCTACCTCAACATCTGGGTGCCGCAGAAGTTACGGATACGCCATAAGAATGTGGTGCCGGTGGCGAACGACGACGGCATGGCGATGCTGGTGTGGATCTACGGCGGCGGTTTCATGAGCGGCACCGCCACCCTCGACGTCTACGACGCCGACTTCATGGCGGCGGCCAGCAGCGCGATCATCGTGTCGATAAATTATCGCGTCGGTGCCTTCGGCTTTCTGTATCTCAATCAGCACTTCACCAATAGCGAGGAGGCGCCGGGCAACATGGGTCTCTGGGATCAGGCAATGGCGCTCAGGTGGCTGCGCGACAACGCGCGCGTCTTCGGCGGCGATCCCAATCTGATCACGATATTCGGCGAGTCCGCGGGTGGTAGCTCGGTGTCCCTGCATCTAATCTCGCCGGTCACGCGGGGTCTCGTGCGCCGCGGTATCCTGCAGAGCGGCACCCTTAACGCCCCGTGGAGCTACATGACCGGCGAGAAGGCGAACGAGGTGGCGCGTGTGCTGGTGGACGATTGCGGATGCAACTCGACGATGCTGCAGGAGAATCCGGCGCGAGTTATGGCATGCATGAGGTCGGTGGACGCGAAAACCCTCTCCGTGCAGCAGTGGAACAGTTACTGGGGCATCCTCGGCTTCCCGTCGGCGCCCACCATCGACGGCGTCTTCCTGCCCAAGGATCCGCTGGATTTGGTCAGGGAGACGGATTTCGATGAGACCGAGATCCTGATTGGAAATAACGAGGACGAAGGTAGGGGCACTGCCGATGTTAACTTGTGTTGCGAGAGTGTGTGTTGCTTTACGGCGGAATTATTGCCGACGCGGTTTACGGCCGACCGCGCGCGGTTAAGCCGGGCTGTGCAACCGGCTTTTTGCAAATGAAAATATGTCCTTCCACTTCGGATTCTTCCGAATGCTATCGGAAAGGCAGAATCGAAAGATCTTTTCCAGTTACGATTATTTCAGCATGTCGACGAGAATTCAATAGCGCGCCGCCCGATATGACTCAGTTTACGATGTGGAAATAGGGATTTATATATGACGGCTCGTAGGAAGCCAGATTTATCTTTCGACGCGATTTTCTTCTCACGTCAGATTCTAATCTAAAAAAGAGGCATTTTTCTAAAAGATATATATGATAAATAGTACCATATCGCATATCAATTTCGGAATAAAATTGTTTTCCAAGATTCTTCGCATTGACTGAAAAATCAATTCACATCTTTGAAACTTAATCTGTGTAAATATTATCTGACTTTTTGTATATTAAAAAAGTTTTCTCGTAGAAAAATTTTTCTTAAATTTTCCCCGAAAAAAAAAAAAGATAAAAGTTTGGAAACCCGTTACATTATCTCATTGACCCAGAATTTATACAGATATTAATTTTCGATTTATATGAATGGCATCAATCAAATGCCCCCAGCCTCGCCAGCTCTCTTAATTGCATCTCGAAGTTGATTCGCGATTATTCGAATTTGCTCACTTTCGGCGCGCATGCTCCTCGCGATGATCTTACGACCGTAAAATAGCGAGAAAAAAAGAATCTATGCAAAGATTACAGCAGTTAGCAAACGTGGTTATCTCCGTTATAGTAAGAATCGTCCAAAGCAAAATAACATCAAACTTTATAAACAGCAAACACGCTGTTCTTTAGGATTATCAGAGATTTTCGAACTTTGAAATGGCGTTCTTTTGCCGCTTAATGATGATATAAATAGCCAAATTGGATCATTCCAGATAGAATCGCGTAATGATAAAGGCCTGTTTATGTCGCGGCCAACCGACGCTTCTGGCATATATCGATTAAATGGCCAATAGCGAAACGGCATGTAGGTATATTACGTCTCCAGCCTGATCCAGATGCTTTTTCATCGGCGAGGAGAATTATTAGTATGTTACCTTTAATTAGTACGCGGAGCGCAATGTTCTGCTCGCGCACTAATGATGTTCATTCAGTTCAAAATTGTACACTCGACGTTCTCGTGAGAGATACGTCTCATATTGAAGGTGTGCGGAGCTCATACTTACGACCGCGGAAAGGAAGGTGATAAAATGGATGATAAAATTATAGAGCAAACACAGACAAAAGCGAGCCAGAAATAAAATTTAGCTACATCTGAAATTCTATCGCAATTTACGTAACGTCTAAATTCACTGTTATTAATATAGCGGCGTTTCAGTAGGAATCATCACACCGAGCAATATTTCAGCAATCTAATAAAAATTTATACAGCGCGATACCGTGTGCTTTTATTATTTTCAACACTAGAATGTTGATTTAATGGCCATATTACTTCCCACGCAGGATCGTTAACTTATGTTTGATTATCCAGGCGCTCTCTGTTGCTGGCGCATCTATCGAGGCATGCAAATGCCGCGGCGCGGTGATAAATCGGCATTGTCTGCGGAGACCGCGCGCACACACGCATACACGTTCAGCGCGAGTTTAATTCAAAATATAACCAAGTCTGCTCTCGCTAAATCGGTTAATCAAACTTTGGTATTGACTGCGAGCCACCGCTGCCGCGCACGATTCCTTTTATTTATAGTCCTTTCGATGGGTGAATGGGAGGGAAGAGCGAGCGAGAGAGAGAGAGAGAGAGAGAGAGAGAGAAGAAGAGAGAGAGAAGAAGGAGGAGAGA